TAGCAAAAGAAGAGAAAAAGGTTTTTTTGTCAAGTAACTGGCCCCCTTTCGAGCTGGATCTGTAATGTCTTATCTTTACTACTTTTGTTTCCCCTACATAAATATGTGCGGAAAATAGAGGCTGTTAGACAAACGGATAACGTTTTTATGCGTCTTTTGCGTTTTTTTCAGCTATGGAATGCGAAAAACGCATATTGACGAGAGGTTGTCTCTGTGTGCGCTGCGCGTCTGTACCGATTTTTCAACTCGAGACCCACAAAAGCAAGGGGCTGCAACTTGGGGAACTTGATCTACATGCGCGTACGGGCCCCCATCCTGATGGGCGCTCCTACCCACGTGGTACTCACGTAAGAGCCCGCCGAAGTTTTTCAGGGTAATCTGCTAACTCGGGAACCAGAGTTGCTGGGGGGCTGAAATTTTAAGTGGACGTTCCCCGTCCAAGTAGGAATTAGTGAGCTTAAACCCAGCGCCGGGTAAGCGTGGTACCCGCATGCGGGCCCGTGAAAGTTTTTTCCAGTAAGTTGCTAACTCAGGGGCTAGGAAAGCTAGAAAGCTGATATTTTAAAGGGGTGTTACCTGCCCATTTAGGCAACCAGTCTTAATTTGTTTAGCTAGAAGCATTTGCCGAAAAAACCGATGCCCGTAGCGACAAAAACTGCGGGGAACTATGCAAGAAACGCTTCTTAACACGGGCGCCCCGTGCGTAGGTCAATTATTGTATTATGATTGTAATGTATAAGACGTATAAAGTGTGCGGTGCTCGGATTTTATCACTGGATTTCAAAACAGCAGCCAGAAAAGTAGGGCCATTCTTGCACACAACTATGTCTTATGCACGAGCGCCGGAATTGAAAAAGCATTCCCATCAAACGATTTTATGAACAAAAAAAATGGTTCACTTTCAAAGACCTGTGTGGGAAAGTATATAATAAGCACTTGGAACACAGAGGAAAGTACATAATAAATAGGGCTCACGTACGGGCACGTGAAAACTATGGCGGGAAAATTCATAACTCGCGAATGAAATAAATGGTCCAGACTAGCCGGTGCGATCATGCGTTTTGTGCAATTCAGCCCATCAAACGATTGCCTGTTAATGAA